AAAAAAAAAAAAAAAAAACAAAAAAAAACTTCATGGAGACAAAGTTGTTCCCAAGATACTATTTATCATTCCCATAGTGATTAATTTATAACGAGGCTCTATAGTTCAGATAGCTAGAGTAGAACGAAGCCTTCAGCTTTGCTAAATGGAAGTAGAAAGGCAAATATTATCTAGAGCGGAACAAAAAAATTTTTAAAGGGTTGATAAATCATTAGAAAGAAAAAGAAAAATACCCAGCCTCATTAGCAATAAACATTGACACATATATGAAATAACTTGCTTTCATATAAATTGGGGGATTGAATAAAATGAAGTATCTAGTGTAATCAAGAGTAACGGGGAAATCACACGGAATTGGAGAATGATTTTGCATCATAAAATGTCTTTTAAAAATATTCACACTCTCAGGCAGTGCCTGTGGCTCAAAGGAGTAGGGCGCCGGCCCCATATGCTGGAGGTGGTGGGTTCAAACCCAGCCCCAGCCAAAAACTGCAAAAAATTAAAAAAAAAAATTCACACTCTCTAGGAATTTTTCCTAAAGAAATTATTAGATGTCTGAATTAAGATTTATGTTTTCATGTCAGAGTTACTTATATTAACAAAATATGAAAAAAAGCCTACATTTTCAGTAAGAAGAATTGGGGAAATAGATACATGTATATGTCAAAAAAATTGGTAAAAATAGTTACATCTACATGTCAAAAAGATAGAAATCAAAATTGACACAAAAATTTCAGAACATTTACATTCTGTAAATAGTAATGATTGCATATTAAGAAAAAAGGATACTGAAGTGCATACAATCAAGTTATTAAATTTATACTTTTATATAAAGCAAGACTGTTTTGCATCCAACTATTGTCATGTCCATTCTTGATGATTTAAAAATATTTCTTTGTTTTTCAGAAAAAATAACTAATATACTAAAGTAATATACTAAAACCCGAAATTAGGTATAAGTTGAGTATCTCTTATCTAAAATGCTTGGGACCAGAAGTGTTTGGCTTTTTAACTTTGGGGGATAGTGTAATGCTTACATATACATAGTAAGATATCTTGGGGTTGAGACCCAAGTCTAAATAGGAAGTTCAGTTGTGTTTCACATATACCTTCTTCTCATAACGTGAAAGTGATTTTAGAGGGTACTTTTCATAATTTTGTACATCAGATAAAGTTTGACTACAACCCGTCACATGAGGTCAAGCGAAGGAATTTTTCACTTGTGGTGTCATGTCAGTGATCAGAACGTTTCAGATTTTGGAGCATTTCGGATTTCGGATTTTGGGCTAGGGATGCTCCACCTGTGGTTTCCTATGGAAGCTGAAAAACTGGTTGCTTGGGCGGCACCTGTGGCTCAAAGGAGTAAAGCGCCAGCTCCATATGCCGGAGGTGGCGGGTTCAAACCCAGCCCTGGCCAAAAGTGCAAAAAAAACAAAAAAAACAAAAAACCCCCAAAACCCCCCAGTTGCTTAGCTTGTAAGTAAAGATTTACTCTGTTAACATGCTAGTGTATGGTCTTCTCTGATGTAATCGTATTGTCCTGACCAGACTGTTTTCCTATGATTTATAGTCACTATGCATAAAAATTGAAGATTTCTTAAATCATTTTAATATACACTCATTTTCATTCTTTCCATTATTATTTCCTCTGTAATATTCTTTTTTTTTTTCTCCTGAACCTACAAAATAGATCTAAATGCTGGAGAAATCCTTCAGATGTTTGGGAAAATGTTTTTTGTCTTTTGTCAAGAATCTGGTTATGACACAATCTTACGCGTCCTGGGATCTAATGTCAGAGAATTTCTGCAGGTAAGCAATGTGAGGTCCCACAGTGAAAAGTTCTGTGTTTGTGGTTCTCAAATACGGGCTCTAGAATAATTCTGTTCAGGCAGCTAACGAGAGGTCTTACTGCTGACATTCACATAAAATCAGAGGAATTGAATGGTCTTGAATACATTTTAGCTTTTTTCTTTCTTTCTTTTTTTTTTTTTAATTTCTGATTGCTGACACTGAATATACAAAGTGTAAATTAATGGTCTCTGAAAAACTCCACAGGATCTGTTGTGATCTATTCACCTGCTTTTGTTTATCGTAATGGTTATAGACAAGTGTTTCTCAACCTTTTTTTATCTCACAGTACACTTGAACCTACGGTTACACTTCTGCGGCACGCTTAAATTATGTGGATCAAAAAATAAAAAGCAGTAAGAAACAAAAGATACTTACTGTGCTGTGAACTTCTTTCAAAAATAATTTAATGATCTTTAAAAATTTTCGTGGCACACTTAAGATCCTCTCACAGAACACCGTGTGCCACCACACTCCAGTTGAAAATTACTGTTATAGATGTCAGTGGTTGTGGTTTTGTGTTTTAGACTTATAATATGGTTTTATTTTCTATTTGTAAAATATTTCTTAGTTTGTAGACTATAATCAAACAGTACATCAGTGCTTGTGAAATTCTACCTGGAGCTTGTTGTGGAGGCAAAAAGTGCCCAGACTTTCAGGTGTTCTGACACCTAGATGTGTTTGAGAACCATTGCTGTGAGTTATATATTAATTAATCTACTATAGAAAGGAAAATAATACACCTTCCAAAGTCAGTTTCAGGTGAAAAAGATAAATAATGTCACTAAAGGCCTTTGTCTTATACTCTTGTTAAAATTTTTTTCTAGTCAATTACACATTAGATGAGAGACTATTTCTGGATTGACTGTGCTATTTTAAGCACTAGCATTTCTGCGACCCTCTTCTTGAAATGTGTTAACATTGAAAATTATGTAGTTGTTTGCAAAGGATATTTCTAAACTGGCTGCTAAAAGCCAGCCAGATCTCGGTGGAAAATGATGTCAGTGCAATACTAGCTGAACTGAAGCCCAGTTTTGAGGGAATGTAAACTACTTTCAATCCAGCTGCATTATTGATTTAACAGCCAAAATAAGAACTTTAGTGTTTAATCAAAATGTCTGTTGTTTACATAGTGACATTTTTCTTATAAACTTAAAACAGCATTAAATCAAGATGGAAACTGGTTTGCAATCTTCGGCCATGAATTTACTAAACTACTGGAGTCCACAGAAAAAGGTGCCACTTGCAAATGAAATAGCTGCGGGGAGATTTTTAAATAAAAATTGAACAGGCAGTGTTTGAAAGGGTTAGTTTAAATGGATTAAAGTTTGATGCTTAAAAGTGTTGAGGGTTTGGGGAGTTTTGAATACATATTCTATTTCTTTCTACGTTTGTTGACCGCTGTCATCAGCAAAATTTCAATGTTCAATTTTTCTATCTGAATTTTCCCTTTCTATCTCAGTGGCCATATTGCATAACAAGACAAAAGTTTAGATGATTTTACTATTTTTTTTTTTTAACCTTTACTCATGGTGACCATATTCGACCACAGCTAAGGGAATAAGGAGTCTTTCAGGTGTGTTTTTCCATGTTCCAGAGTTGCTGAGTTATCCCAGAGGAAAGCCACTGTTTGCTGTGAGATGTGCTACAAGGGTAAAATACACACCAGATTTTAAAAGACAGAATAAAATGAATATCAGATGGCTTAGAAATAATTTCATGTCGCTGTCATGTTGAAATCACAATGTTCTGGATATATTGGGTTATAGAAAACATAGTTAACAGGGTTTTCAGTTGCACACAATTTTATTTTAGCTGTCTTTCTGTGTGATAGTGTGAACAATTAAGAGATTAGAAAGTCAGAATACTTTAAAATTTTCATCAAAAAAAATAAAATTTTCATCGATATTGTGAATTTTGATCCAGTTATTTTTAACTACCTGTTTTTGAAATTGTATATCTTAAGAGTAAACGGAGTATGTTGAAATACTATTTTCTTTAAAAGTAGGTATTTATATTATGAGTAGACTAATTACATGGACATTAAGTAGATTTTTTTTTTCTATGTAGGTGACTCTACAACAAAGCAGTTGAGTTTAACAAATGATTTTAAGGTCCTTGCTCACATAAGTAAATTGACATTTTCAAGTTAGACTTTAACCATTCACTAAGGTAAGAGAAACTGGACCCCATTTTAAAGAGATTTTAAAAGATTTTCTTTCTCTTTCATTCCCTGGTTTTAGTCCATCCCCAGATCTTTTTTTTTGGTCAGGGCTGGATTTGAACCTACCACCTCCAGTATATGGGGCCGGCGCCATGCTCCTTTGAGCCCATCCCTAAATCTTTAGAATCTATTTCATAGAGACTGAATTTTTATAATTCTGTCACTTTTCATCCTTTCCCCAGTGCTTTGGGAGACTCTACCATTATCCAGAAGTAGTTGTGAAGAGAGGTTTTCCTGCCTCTATTCATGACTCCTTCAATCTCTTCTCTAATATAACTTTAGTGATTTTGCTGAAATGCAAATATATTTGATCATTTTCATGTTGAAACTCTTGAGTAATTTTTTATTATTCATTGGAGAATACGGCAAAAATATTGGAAACAAGTGAAACTACTTCTGTCCCCTACCTATCTGTCTTCTTCTCCCCTTGTCAGCCAAACCTAAGCTCTTTCACAGCCTTTTACAATGTTCATTCTAACCAGGGGTGTCCAACCTGCACCTACAGGCTGCATGCAGATTATTTCAGAACTGTTTTGTTTATCAGTGATGGTGGATGTCAAGAAAAATATAGACGGACCTTTCCTTTTGCTTATCAGTTGTCATTAGACTTTCTGTATTTACTGTGTGGCCCAGGACAGCTCTTGTTTTTCCAATCCTCAGGAGAAAAGAAAAAAGGTTGGACAACCCTGCAACCTCTGAGCTTTTGCAAACGTTCTTTTCTTTGCCTGGAACATTATTCTGGCTCCTTTTCACCTCAATAAATTCTATTCATCTTGCAGTTCACATTATTTCTTCTGGGAAGACTGGTCTTCTCTCCAACTTCTACCCTATCCTAGACAGGGTAATTGGCCTTTCCTAAGTTTTAACAGGTGACTGTATTTGGCCAACCATAGCAGTTTCACACTGAGTTATCATTCCTGTTTTTTGGACTGGAATATAAACTTCAGGAAGCCAGAGACCATGTGTAATTAATCTCTTAAAGATTGTAGCACCACAGATGCAATCTATATATCTGGGAATGAATGAATATCATTTTTTAAAAAATGAATATTTTTAAAAGTTTTCTGAGCACAAGTCACAGCATATAATAGGCAATAGATGAAGAGTCTTTGTATAATAGAATTAGTTAATTCTATAGTATATGTATTTTTTAATTTAGCCCAACCTATTTTATCAGGATAATACCTTTTATCCCTTATCAAAATTTTATATTCATACTGTATAGATAATACTTGCAACTTAATTCTCAAAAATATTTGTTTTCTCGCCTAGATTTTATCATCTTTTTTTATAGGTTGACTTAAGGAACAGACACTAATATTTCTTCCAACTTGAAAGACTTTCTACCAATATCAAACTTATAATGCCATTTATACAATCTCTCTTTTTCTTCCAAATTTAATGTAAAAAGTTTTGCAGTATGCTTACCATAAGCTACCTAGAGACTTTAACAAAGAATAGCTAAAAAACTTAAATGGAGAAAGTAATTAAATATAAGAAGTATGTTTAAAGGAAACTTTGGAAACATTACTTATTTCTAGACATTACACAATTTGGAATTGATTTTTCTTGAATCTCAAGTGAAACCATCAATTCATATTTTATTGATAAAAGTAATAATCATTAGAATTTATTGTTTGGTTGATTCAATAACTGAAAATATGCATTATTAAAAAGAGATAAATAAATAAGAAGGCATTTTTATTTTGATTTTTAGATTTTATTTATTTTTTCTGGTTATACTGTTCTAAATATTAGGGCATATTTCAGCAAGAATTTTTTTCTTTATTTTTCCACTTTTTTTTTATTGTTGGAAATTCATTGAGGGTACCATGAACCAGGTTACACTGATTACATTTGTTAGGTAAAGTCCCTCTTATAATTGTGTCCCTCCCCCCATCACATACTGTGACCCCCCATCCCCTTCCTCCTTCCCTCTCTCTGCTCTTCCCTTATTTTTCCACTTTTTAAATTTTTTAATTAAGAATAAAATGTGTTGTTCCATGCTACTGCTATAGTACCTTTCTATCTGAAGCTTTTAGTGTACTATGAAAACGTTGCACAGGATATATGGAGTTTAAAAGCTTCATGAGGAAACAGCTAGTGAAGTGAATGTTCAATTTGATGGTATTTCCATCTTAATCAATGCTTGTTTCTATCTTCCAGTGTCCTGTTGAGTTATAGTAGGTTACATTTTTCCAGAATCACTGCAACAATCTCTCCTATCTCATAAGTACATCTGAAATATGATTTTATTTCTCCCCTATCAACAAGTAAAATTGTACTTCTTTTTAATTTGGGTCAGCTTTAGTGATTATCTTATCAATAGAATGTGTCAGAAGTGAACTTTCCAAACTTTCTAGGCTAAAGCATACGAAGTCTTGATATTTCCTCCTTGGTATCTTAGAAAAGTTGCCCTTGGGATACTTCTCTAGGAACCGAGACACATGAAATGAGAAGAGCAAGCCACATGAAGAGGCCACGCATAGACATTCAGACAAAGTTCTAGTGGAGCTCCCAGCCGAGAGCCAGCAACAGCTACCAGCCATTTGCTTAGTCCATCTTAGCCACCATACTGTTACAGAATCCTGATACTTCAGTTTCAGTTTTCATCTGACTCCAACCCAATGTAAGAAATTTCTAAATATCCAGACAGCCCACAGAATCATGAAAAATTGTAATAAATTAGGTGAGGCAGGTTGGTTCACACCTGTAATCAGCACTCTAAGAGGCTGGGGTGA